TGAGCTGGCAGTCAGCACAGAGCCCGATGCGGGGCTCGAACCCACGAACCGCGAGATCATGACCTAAGCGAAAGTCGGACGCTTAACCGACTAAGCCACCCAGGCGCCCCAGCCCCAGAGTATTTCTGTTTTAAATTAATTATTGCTTTCAGAAATCGGTAGACTGGCAGCTTACATCTTTAGGATCTCCCAAATGTATGGTTGGCAGTTTTTCACCCAAGCGTGTCTCATATTTGAGGCATCACCAAGCCTGTCGGAGCTGAAATACCTGAATTACGCAAGAGGGTGAGGATAGAAGGCTCTCAGGCTGAGCGGCAGTTTCCTGCCAACCTGGCTCTTTCCCCTTGGATCATTCACGAAACTCACCTCCATAGGTTTCACGCACAAATAGGAGTCAGAAAGATCCATATAAAAAATCAGTTGGATATCGTTGGTATCATTTCCTGTGGGTTCTTCTTTCCAGACAGGAAGTTAGAGGCTGGTGTCAGCTTTGTGGGAGTGATGAAAGGTGTCTCCAGATGTGAGCAAATGCTTCTATAAACAACCCAAATTCCTTGGGAGAAGTATATCCAAATGATCTGTATTTAGTTGGAAAATCATTTGCTCTTTTTACAAACTTTTTAAGTTTATTTATTTATTTGCAGAGAGAAAGAGAACACAAGTGGCTGCAGGGCAGAGAGAAAGAGAAGCAGAATCCCAAGCAGGTTCCACACCATCAACGCAGAGCCCGATATGGGACTCGAACTCATAAGCTGTGAGATCATGACCTGAACCAGGATCAAGAGTTGGATGCTTAACCGACTGTGCCACCCAGGCGCCCCATGTTCCATTCTTGACAATTAAGGTGAAAGTTCATGTTTTCTTGATTACAACAAAGAAAATTCTTAGTACAGAGGAAGTCAGTACTAAGAAAGTGTTTTATTCCACTTTTCCTAGTCCATTTTTTCCTAGAACCGGAGAATTGAAGGTCCTGTAACCAGGAAACTAAATACCAAACTAATTGTACCAATACGTGACCCCAAATCAAGGCACCAAATGGAGTGTTGGACTTTTAGAAATGGAATCATTCCCACCTGGTTGTGGTTTCTCTTTCAGAAATGTTTTCTTTTTTAAATTTCATGTATTTTTAAAAAATTGGTTACACTGGTTTCAGTTGTGCAATATAGTGATTCAACAATTCTATACATTTCTCAGTGCTCAACATGGTTACCTGTACTCTTGATGCTCTTTACCCATCACACCCATCCCCCCACCCACCTGCCTTCTGGCAACCAATTGTTTTCTGTAATTAATAGTCTGGATTTTTTTGTTTGTTTATTTGTTCTTTTTCTTTGCTTGTTGATTTGTTCTGTCTCTTAAATTCCGTGTATGAGTGAAAATTTTTGGAATTTGTCTTTCTCTGTTTGATTCATTTCACTTAGCATTATACTCTCTGGATCCATCCACATCATTGCAAATGGCAAGATGTCACTCTTTTTGATGGCTGAGTAATATTCCATTGTACATATACCACATCTTCTTTATCCATTCATCTGTTGATGGACACTTGAGTTGGTTTTTTTAATCTCTTCCCATTTTGTCCTTTAGTTACATACTCAGCAAGACTTTGTTAATAACCTATTATAAGCCTCACTCCTTCTAGAAACGAGTGGAGTAAGTGCAACTCATCCACAGTTGGTGATCATGTGATTTCTTTAAAGGTCTGTGACTATTGCCAGTTGCCTACACAACAAGCCCCTTATTCAGATGCTCCCACACTGCACCCATCAGTTCCCTGTCCACATGTTTACTCCTCACTTTACAGAATGCCCACTCCTCACCTCACCCTTCAACCTCTGCCATGACTTCCAGACCCTATGTTGGCTTCATTCCCCACCCAAAGTCTTCTTCCTTAACCCCACAGTCCCGCTGACCCTTCCCCTTCATGCCCACTCACAGACAGCTCCTGTCAATTGGCACATGCTTTAGACATTAAAGTTGTCTGGGGGAGGATGCCCCTATTATTTTCTATTAATTTTTTTAATGTTCATTTATTTTTCAGAGAGAGAGAGAGACAGAGTATGAGCAGGGAAGGAGCAGAGAAAGAGGGAGACACAGAATCTGAAGCAGGCTCCAAGCTCTGAGCTGTCAGCATAGATCATGACCCGAGCCGAAGTTGGATGCTTAACCGACTGAGCCACCCAGGCGCCCCACCCTATATTATGTTCCAATTATGTCAGGGATGTGTATCACATGACTCTCATGCTAGATGATAAATTCTATGAAAACAGGAGCCAGGTTGTGTCTCTTTCTGCAAGCCCCTTGGTACTCAGCGTTTCATCTGCTTGCTGGCTTCTGCATTCAATCTATAAGCAATTAGTGGGCATCAACCATGCATGAGACTGTACTGGCCAGCCCCAGAAGGCGCAGAGAAAGATGAGCCCATTGGCATCAAGAATTCCCAGCCACGGGAGGAAATAGTACACTGAGTGGACAGCTCTACCGGCGGGATTAACAAGCCCACGCAGCGCCAAGGTGCACAGCAAATGCCGAGTCAGTGACAGTTGACTGCCGAATCGACCAGACTGCTCGGAGGTGGTAATTTCGGGTGATTAGTATTATTGCTAAATCCGTGGACGTTCTTGGACTCATGCATATGTGCCAAAATTGGTTCCTTTTTTGAGCCTTCTCTGCCTGACAATATGTTACATTTTTCTTTCAACATTTGTCTCAGGTTCCACATTGGAATTATCCTAAGAGCTTCCAACAACAACAACAACAAGGGTCAAATACGGATGCCCAAAGTTTGGATGCACCCAAACCAACGGAGTTGGAGTCTATAAAGTGGGGCCATGGACTTCGTCACTAGTGTTATTTCTTTTTTCTTTTCTTTTCTTTCTTTCTTTCTTTCTTTCTTTCTTTCTTTCTTTCTTTCTTTCTTTCTTTCTTTCTTTCTTTCTTTCTTTCTTTCCTTCTTCCTTCCTTCCTTCCTTCCTTCCTTCCTTCCTTCCAAGTTCTTCAAATGATTCTCCTAATTTCTTTTTTCTTTTCTTTTCTTTTCTTTCCTTTTCTTTCTTTTCTTTCTTTCTTTCTTTCTTTCTTTCTTTCTTTCTTTCTTTCT